GGAGGGGGGCAAAGGGAGGAAAATGGGGGACATCAGTAATACTCTCAACAATAAAATAAATTTTAAAAAAGAAATATATTGATATATTGGCCTTTCAAAAAAAAAGTCATCTACAACAGGCACGATTTTTTAGCCCCCATTTTTTTATTCCTTTAAAAAGAACATCTTCGCTTTGTTATTCACAAGGAAAACCTGACAAAGCATTCATTCTCTTAATGCAGAAAGTGTTGTTTGGATTGGCAAACAAACCAATTTGTTTGAAACTTAGGGAAGCAAACAATGCATATGAAAGCAACAATGTATGTACTATGCATGTCTTATAGGGAAATGGTGATAGAAAGTGAATCGTCTGATTCACAATAGGGTATATTCTGAAGGAGATAAGCCTTTTATATCTATGAGCATAAAGATGTATAAATTATTAAATAATTTTACCCTAGTAGTACTTTTTGCATGTGTTAACATTTAAACAAACCAGAAACAGCTCCTGAAATTGCTTATGTTAACGCAACTGCTACTCATTTTAAAAGGCAATTCCACTTAAAACCAAACCTCAGGTCTCAAAACACCAGTTAAGGCCAAACAAAGCATAATAAAGTTGGTATATGCAAGATATGAAAACCTCCAAATTATATTTCAATGACTGTTTAATTTATAAACCAACCCAATCAACAAAGCATATGTTTAAAATTCTAGAAACATTTTTTGGCAAGTATTTCTTAAGCTAAATGTAACTTCAATCCCCTCACAGTAAAAATCTCCCCAAACATAAAGCAAAATGTTTCATTAACCTCCTAAGGGCCATATTTAGATATGAAGTAAAAATGGTTTTGAAGAATAGCTGACACTATCATGCATAAGCTAAAGAATCAATAGTTGGTTAAATAAAAATATGAACTTCTCAATGATAATTACCATACAGGGCATGAAATATATCCATGAATCACCCCTGTTAGATATATCGAAGAGATTTTCTAAGTCTTAGATGCTAAGAGATGCTATTCTGTCTCAGTAAATAAAAAGCCTTATGATTTAGCTAATATTTTTCTTTTAATTATTATTGCTATTATCACTTGAAAAATACGGAACAACATTTTTTAAATGCATATTTGGGTATTTCCCTAACATACTGGCAGAAACTGATAGATATCTAAAAATACAAGATTTATGCTGAATCTTCATCTTATTGACAGCCATAAATAAACTTTAATAAACCATTTTAGGAGATAGAATGCAATTTGAATTGGAAGGGAGTCTATAAATAGAAAGGGATTTCATATTGAAGAGTTTATTGGCCAAATGAAACCACAACCAGTGGTTTGATTTCTATTAATCAGCTTGCATTTCATATTATATTCGGTTGACTTTTAATTGTCAAATTGGAGCTACTGTAATGGTGTTCCTATAGGTCTACATGTTGTGCATTTCAACATACACATTCCATTTAGGAGAACATATGGAATTGGATATGCCAGGCTATCTTATGCTATAAAATACAGTGTTATGCAGCTGCCCTTTTCTGATTACAGGTTCATCAATGTATACTTTCTAATTTTGATGTGAATGCCTGTCTAGCGACCCCTACTTCATTGATTCAAAGGAGGAGTCAGAGATCAAAAGCCACTTTATCACTTAACGAGAAAAGTATCTATTTTAAACCTACTCTTACTACTTTATGAAAGGACAGGGCACACACAAGAATAACTACAGTATATATTCCAGATAAGGGAAACTGACTACCACATGCGGGTTTAATAAACAACCAAAAAACTGTTAACAGGCGTACCCTTCAAATCCATATACTATAGCTCTCTTATCCTCAGGGGTTGGAGTACGTATTTTTATATGTCTGCCCTCTCTACCCTAATGGAATATGAAAAAACTTGTAAATCAATATTAGAATTCAACAGCAAGATAACTCTCCCTGATCTTGCAAAACAAGGAAATACAAATGATACAATTTCTCCACTAGAGCTAAACTTGGAGCAGGAGAGATGTTAATCACCTACTGAAGCAACAAAAGAGGTTACCGGAGTCAGTGCTCAGCTATGCATTATCCAAAGGAGAAGAAACATTTTTAATGAGTTTAATCTGAATCCAACCTCAGAAACACAATTGCATTTTTATAATTTTCCTTCCCAGGTACAGGTGCTTACCAAGAACAATATATCGATCAGTTAAATATGAGTATTCTGGTCCTTGGGATAGTTAAATCTATCATTTAAAATGACTGAATTTCCATTTTGATTGATACATCATTTTTTGAGTTTATTTAAAGTTAACTCCCTGACCTCCCCCCTTCCCCCCCATATGGATCTGCTTGCAATAAGATGAGGCAATCAGGTTTCTGGGTCTGTAGGACTGAGGATTTGATTCTGGTTGATGATAAATTCACCAGTGAAAGGCTATCCTCTGAGTTATTTCTGACCTTTTCACCACCATGCAAGGATCTCCTTATTTGGAATTGATTCAATATTCCAAAGACCAGTGAATTATGTAACCCTATCCAAATATCAGCTTGGATCGTATCACGGATATCAATCCCACTGACACTGCTTCTTTAACTTCTGGTTTTAAAGTGTGGTAAAGCCTCAGGAAAGTGAGAACAGAGTCTGCAATTTCAAAGAGTTTGGCAAGCAAACAGAAAGTGCCTCATAGGCCAGAAGGAAAGCAGAGGTCAGGAAACATTATCCCTCTAGTCCTTGTATCTAGAGGGTACGACCATGTAGCACCAGAGGTAAGGATGAAATTTACTTAAGTGTAATATAATAAAAATATAAATACAGTGCTGCCTGTCAACTAAAGCAGCAGAAAATGATAACCATCCAATGGCGGGTTCCCCCCAGAGTGACAAATTATAACAGAAGCAGTGCCAGGAATAGATTACCTGATTTAAACAGTAAACTATGTTGCCTTTTATGGAGTATATGAATGAAATTGGCAAGAGTGGCTAATTAATTAAAGCTGATTAGTGTATCAAATCTCTTGGTAGAATAAGCAAAACATGAACTTTTTATAATTATTTGGAGTCAATATGCCATTCATGAGGCATATACATTCCAAAGGCATCGATTTTTTCCCCCAGCATTTTACACTTTAGGTTTAGATATTGGTATTTTGAGAATTGAAGTCACATAGGACAATTCACGATATATTGCAAAAACACAGAACATTTTTAAATATATCTGGACTATAGAAAAACATACGATGCATAGTTTCTACTGTACTTTGTGCTTACTTTGTGGAAATGTTAGGCTTATGTAGATAAATATTAAACTATACTGAAAACAGTGGTAGTTCAGAAATGTACCAACCTTCAGGATCCAGTAGTTTCTCTATGCCTAAATGATGCTTGGCGATGTTGAATGCATGTTCCAGTCTTTGTGCGGCTGACTGCTGGCAAAGCACACTATTCCAATCAATCAGGTCTGGCCTAAAACACACATACACACACACATACACAAAGACAAATGTAAATCAATTTAGACCGTTTCATAAAATTCACTTCAATTCTGGTTTTTAATTGACAACCCATGCCCACAGTCCTTAGGAGTGTTACTCGGTTACCCCTCAATAAGGTTTTTCACTTAAGGCACAATTTTAATTAAAAATCCTGAAGGAAACAAAGCAGAATTTATTCTGCCTTATCCAGGAAACAATAAGGTGTTAATCAAATCCAATCTCATGCATTTGAATACCCGTTATTTGATGGTAACTTCCAATTATATAAACCTACTCCAGACCTCCTTCCTGAATTCCAGATGCTGGAGTCATCCACTTATTATCTCCACTTAGAGTTATCATAAGACTCAAGCATCCAAAACTGAGCTTCCCCGTCACACTCCTCCAAACCCAGCTACTTCTCTTGAAGTTCTCCCTTCTTCCACAACCAATGACAAGTTCAAACTGGCAGTTTGCTCAGACAAGAAAACCTGGAGTGAAATTTGAGGACTCTCACAACACTTAGCTGGAAATATATCCAGAACTTGACCACTCCTAAGCATCCTGCTGCCATCGCCTTAATCCAAAACTCACCATTTTATTTTACACGGACTATTGCAATAGCCTCCTCACTGCTCCCCAACTCCCACCCCTGTCCTTGTTAATCTATTCTTAGCAGAGCTGCCAGAGTGATCTATTACAATGGTTCATCATAAAGTTCGTCTCAAATCCCTGCTGTTGGGGAGTAAAAGTCACTGATTTAACAAGACCCGACATGGTCTGGCCTCACCATTAGATCCTTGATTTTATTTCTTGCCTCTCTCCTCATATTCCTCAAACAGGCTAGTTTCCTGCATTTCCTGTTTCCTCTGCCTGGAGTTCTCTTGCCCCAGACATCAACATGGCTCACTCCCCCACGTATTTTGCATCTTTACTCCAAAATCACATTATTGGTGACTCCTTCCCTGCCCTCCCCCACCTAAAATTGCTCGCTCCCAAATCAAACTTACACTCATTTCCTTTCCCTCTTAACTGCTCTATATTTTTCTCATTAGCACTTACTACTATTTAACATTTTATGTATTTTAATTAATCTCCTTTATCTGTCTCCCCTAGTGGAATGTAGAATACAGAATATTACTTTCTGCCAGTTTTGTTCCATTCTAGAAACCCAGCATGACACACAGTAGGGGTTCAAATAAAGACTTATCAACTACACCAGAAAAATGGATGAAAACATACTGTATCAGTATCATTTTACTTGATAACAGAGAAACACCAAGTGTAAGAGGCAGTTCTTATCCTACCTACAAGGATTTTACACATGAGGAAAAAATGCATACATCACAATAAGTTAAATAAATTCTAAATGTGAAAACTACAGATAAGGTATAAGGCTTTTTAACATCTAAAGAGGTCAAGAACATTTTTTAAAGCTTAAGGGAGTCTTAAATGGTAGTTTGGGTTTACAGTTAAGAAAAATATTTGAAAATGAATTCTACATTATGTGTATATTAGAGAATCAAAGTTCGCAGGGAAGAAAGATGCACTATGTGCTCAGGCAGTCAAGATCTCACAGGCCTGGTTTCTTGGGAGATTCCTAGTATCGAGTGCTGGAAGATACGGTTAGAAGGGACTGGGATAAGCTTGCAAATGCCTTGGCTGTTAAGAAATTACAATTTATCTGAACAACGTTGGGAACCATTAGTTAAGTGGTCCTTTACCTTTTCTAGATCATGGCTACCTCTCAGAATCTGATGAGCGCTATGAAATGTCTACCCAGACAAATACCTGTCCATATCTTTAAAGAGAATTTACATAGAATTTTAGGATATTTGGGTCTGTCCGGAGACTCCAGATTAAGAACTCGTGTTCTGCAATGGAAGAAGTTACAAGAACGGGGCTTCCCTCTTATTTTCTAAAACCGTAATTCAAAAGAAAGATCCAATTTTATTTCTCATTTGACTCTCATTTCCTTTTCTAAACTGCTCCTCATCTGATTAACTCACCAGAATTTTGTGCACTTCGTAGCAAATCTACTCTCCCCTAAATATTCCGTTATGCAAAACAGCTATCTTTTAGAACCTAAAATACATATAAATTCGGAGCTGCTTCCAAGTAGTGGGAAGACTATAAGAAATAAAATCAAATTCTAGACTATCTGGAGAGACTGGAACTTCACTATGCAACCTCTGCCCCATCTTCACTTTTTCATTTCTCAGTAATGGGAGTGAAAGAGAATATAAGTGGAGGTTGTGGAGGAAGCTAGTTTTCCCGCCTATAGCACAGTAACCAAGTTTAAATGAGTACAATGGGAAAGAATAAAATTGCTTTTTTCTCTTCATTCCCTCCCCCTTTTCCTTGGCCACTAACTAATCATCTGGGCAAGGAGTTATCTAAGTCACGTAATCTATTTGAACTTAAGTGCTTTCATTTGAAAAGTAAGGAGTTGTAAGAAAGAGCCTTTGAGGTCTCTTCTAGAATTAAAATTACTCTAATTAATTGTTTTAAATCATTAAAATTCATCAGTAATTAACATTTTACGTGACTCTGATTTTCAAATGCATGAAAAATTATAAAACTAACCAACTGTAGAGGAAAGCCACATGCCTTTCCATGTCAGCCTAGGCCATACTCATAAACAAGAACACGCGACCAAGGGTCAGCAGTCTCTTGAGGAAACCAATATAGTGAATGAGACTGCACAGACTAGGAGATACCCAGAGTCCTCTATAAATTCAAATCCTAGCTCCACCACATATTAGCCAAATGGTATTAGGTAAATCAAATAACTCCTCTGTGCCTTAGTTTTCCAATTTGTAAAATGGGGCTAATCACTATATCTATGTCATGAGAAATAGATGGGACATTTTACTTAGAAGAGTGCCCACAAAATAATAATTGCTTAAAAACACTAACTTCTATTGCTTTGTTCTATGGTTAATTATATTTATAAAATAACAACAATGCATTTTCAATTTACAGACTCAAGCCAAGACTACCTATACCTACAGAACAGATATAAATGTTAGAAACACTGTTGATGCAAGAATGATAATATAACAAAATGGAAAGTGGAGAGGAGAAAAGAGAAGTATAAGTGTGATAATTTCCTCATGTCATATCAGGTAGTCAACAGATCTTGTCTAAACCTGAAAAAAGGTGCACCACTATCATTTAAGTAATACAGGCAACAATTACAAGAATAAAATTATTATAATATAGTAATCAAGTTAGGAAATAGATAGGGATGAGAGGTAATATTTGTGGACCCCAAGAAGAAAGAGTCATCTGATGTGAACCCCAAGAAGAAATTCATCTGCTGAGATGGACTTCCCCCATGATCAATCAAGAGCCCAAACTTTATAAATAATAAGAGTCTAGCAGACATTTACTGACAGGGACTTCTCAGACTCAACTCGAAGCTTCCCCATTATGGCCCACTTGTTTCCCCATGAGTCAACCACAGGGAAACCCTGGTTTTGTGTTTTTACTTAAGGACTGAGACCTGCCCTGTCCAGTCAGAACTACACAATTTGTATTCCTCATTTACACAGAAAGGACGTAATCGAGAAGCTGTGTGGGAACTTTTGCCATAAAAGGCAGCGCCCCCTTTGCCTTGGTGGAACACAATTTAGGTTGCTATCTGAATCTGTGTCTCTGGGACTAGAGCTCCTTTGGCTTAAATAAATGCTTTGTATTCTTTATATTACAGTCTAAAATTACTATTGGTATATAGCTTTGCATTAAGGAGGAAATCCATATGCTGTCAGAAATCAACTAATCAGGAAATATAAATACATAATTACGACCATGAGAAAGAATAAAAGAAGCTGGGGGCCACTTCTAGGAAGTGGAGTGTGATGGGATGGGATTGGGATCTTGAAGACACATTTTGCTTGATGCTTTTCCTTCCCCCCAGTCTGTACTGTCTGACTTACTTTTTTTTGCCATACGTATTTTATTTTATGAAATTCTTTTATTTTTTTCCATTTTTTAATTTTTCAATTACAGCTGGCGTTCAATATTATTTTATACTAGTTCCAATTGTACAGCATAATGGTTAGATAGTTACATAATTTAAAAAGTGATCCCTCCAGCCCTGGCCAGGTAGCTCAGTTGGTTAGAGCATCGTTCCGATATGCAAAGGTTGGGGGCTGGATCCCAGGTCAGGGCACATACAAGAATCAACCTATGAGTGCATAAAGAAGCAAAACAACAAAGCGATGTTTCTTTCCCTTGCTCTCTCTCTCTCTCCCTTCCTCTCTCTCTCTAAAAATCAAACGATAAATAAAAATTTTTTAAAAAATGATTTCCCCCCAATAAGTCTAGTGCCCACCTGGCACTATACATAGTTATTACAATATTATTGACTATATTCCCTATGCTATATTTCACATCCCCACAACTATTTTGTAACTATCAATTTGTGCTTCTTAATTCCCTCGCCGTTTTATCCATCCCTCCAACCACGCCCTAACCATCTGGCAACCATAGTCTGTTCTCTGTATCTATGATTCTATTTCTATTTCTTTATTCGTTTATCTTGTTCTTTAGATTCCACATATAAGTGAAATCATACGGCATTTGTCTTTCTCTCTCTGACTTATTTCACTTAGCATAATACCCTCTAGGTGCATCCATGTTGTTATCTGACTTACTTTTAAAACCATGCGCTGTGTTACTTCTATGGTAACAAATTAAAATAAGCAATTAGGAAGAAAACTTAATTGCGACTTTAGCTTCCAGCAACTTATCTGCATAATTTGAGCATATTTCTAATCAATTATCATTTGGTTTTTCCCACAAAAGTAAAATCTGGTTTATTTTTAATGACACTGTAGTGGACTTCGTGTTTTAATCTAATACTTCTAATTTCCTACATACTAAGATAAAATTTAGCCTTAGGTAGATATAAAGCCCCAAATATTCTAACCTTTGGCAACGCTCTTTGTCAGTCTCTAATGCTCTATATTAAGTGTATGCCTTTGTTCTATATAGCTTAGTCACTCAATTATTGAAATCAGGACACTTCATGACATTCCTAAGTATACCAATGGCAACAACCTTGGAACAGATAGTTCAACCATTTTTTCTTAGATAAACAATCTGAACATCTGTCAAAGACAAAACGAAGAGGGAGATGATTCATGAAACAGCATTATCAACTGTGAGAAACCTCTTGAAAAGTAACTATGTTTTGCATAAAAAGGTAGTTATAGATGATTCATTCAACATGACAGGAGAGAATATATAAACGAAGATATTTTGCCAGAGAAACAGTGGGTCAGGGACAGATGCAGTGGGGCAATCTGGATATGCTTACTGTATTGCTCACAAACATATTTGGAAATCATGAAATAGAATATGAACAAATGTAGTGTGTGAACATGCTTGCAGGATTAAAGTCTTCCACTTGAGAAGAAAATGTTAAAAGAGCCAACAAGGACCGCATGACCCAATCCTCACTATTTCTATTCATCTGCAAAAGTGTACAAGATCAATATGTTCAGGCCCTTACTGGGAGCGTGTGGCTGCATAAATGAGTGCTGACTTATAATGCAAAACGAACGTCTCTATCCCTTCTCATAGGGCTGTACTGAAGCTGTGGAATATTTTTCCTCATGTTATATTTATGAAAAACAAGGTGTTATCATCGCTTAACATGCCCATTGAGTGGAAGCCTGCCTCCTTTGGAAAATCAAGTTGCTGAGTCATTCACCTGGCAACAGCCTGGATGGGGTTAATTAAGCCCAGCTGGAGCAAGACCCCCCCAAAAAGATGCTTATTTAGAGAGCCTTTGCTCTTGGATTGAGCTTTACCATGAAAAAACTTTATATTCCGGACTTTTCTAGAAGCAAGGCTGGCACAGGAAAATGGTAGACTCATCAAGAAAAGAAAGATAAGCAGCATTGAAAATCAGGAAAGGTACAATCCAGTGGCATTTCAAACACAGTTAATAAGGTAATGTATTTGACCTTAGGGATTGGGCTGGGCAAAAGAGATAGATAATAGGAAAACCAAAGTAGATATTCCTTACAGTAAATGTATTATACAGACTATATATATAATATTTCAAAATTATATATAATATATATGAATGCACTATATATGTATTGACTATGTTGTTTTGCTTTTTCTTGAACTGTTATTAATTCATTTACTGAGATTCTTTATACAAGAAAATGCAAACAAATATTTTGTTATCTTAGAATATATAATATTGTATGGAATAGTTAAGGACATTTGGTTCACCAAATTACACTGAATTATTATTTTTCCATAATACATCATGTGGTACTGCGTGTTCACCACCCCAAGTCAAATGTCCTTCCATTCTTTTCATGAAGATCCACAGAACTCTCTCTCTCTTGTTTTATAGCAATTGCTTTGCTATTCCAGAGCAATTGTTTCTTTTGATATTCTGAGCCCTGAGTCATAGACTTAATTGCGGTCTGCTCTTTGCCTTCCTTGGTTGCTAAGATTCTCAGAACCTCTTTTAACCCTGAAATATAAAAAAATATACAGGGCCTTATGGTATTTGCTGTCTAAGTGTGTACAGGACAAGTGAAATGTTTCTTTTTCTCATTATTAATCTGGTGATGGTAATTAATTTTACTACAGCCACTCACACGAGATATGGAACCATTTTTAGCTTTACAGTTTAAACTCATATTAACACATTATTTGTATAGAAAGATCAACTGCATTCTTAGCAAAGCGGGAAAATAACCTTGATTTTCTGGCAGAGTCCCAATTTCATATACGTTGATCCTCTCCTCAACCATAACCACATTCGTGCTCCAGTCATTTTAATATTTCAACAACTAAATGATATATCAGATGCACAGAATATTCTTATTCAGTGCATGGTTAGATCAATATGGTCAACAAATATAACACACTGCATAGTGGGAAATGATTTGGAACCACACTGGAGGAAAAAATATCAGTCTCCAAAGCAATACTTATAAAAATTATTCAGTGTCTCAGCAGTGTTCTTACCTATGACTGTGGATGAGAGCATTCAAAGCCAAACCGTCAGACCAGCTGGTGGTGAAGTTAATGACATTAACCTGTGGATAATTACGAGTTGATTGTCGGACCCAGCTCAGGAGAATCTTTTCACTGTTGGTTTGCTGCAATCCAGCCATGATATTTTTCATTACATTTTTGACCTATGTGTGGAAAGAAATTTTAATAAGAAAATGCATTCCTCGAACAAGAACCACACCAACTTGTATTTGAATGGCCTTCTCTTCGGTAATAAATAATGGGAACTTTAGGGTCAACTGGTAATAAGAAATAATAGATTCTACCAAGGACTGAGTGCATTCTAATTAGGAGTCTCTTCTGATTGGTTGGTATCTGCGACATACCATTGGCTGAATGTGGCTAACATCACTTCTGGATTCTGCCACCTTAAATTATTCATTTTGTATTTTTAGAATTAGTCATCTTCTAACTTTCAATAAATATGCTAGGGAAGAGACTAAAAAACATTAGACTTGTTAACCAGGGACTTAAGATACATTAGTGGTTTTAGGATAAGAGGAATAGTGGCTAAAAGAATGAGCCTTGGTTCAATTTTTGCCTTTGATATTAATGAACTGTGTTAATTGGGCAGCTTAACCACTTTAGACCTGTTTCTATAATTATACACAGGAGGCTGATGTAAGACTCAAAGGACAAACTATAGTAACATAAAACCCCTAGGTTCATACTATAACTTAATGCAAATTACTGACCAAAGTGGAAAAAAGAAGCAGAAATGACTTTGCCTATTTAAAATAAAGAACAAAAAAACCAACAAAAGGAAAAGAATATTTATCTCTAAAAGCTGTGGATGTGTCACCTTGGTTTTTGTTTTGTGGTGATTTGTTTGTGGTAGTCAGTCTGGTTTAATCCCTTATGGCTTTTTTCAGCATAAGAGATTCACGTACAAGAGTAGAAAGGTTACAAAACGCCCAAAGCATGGGTCCAGAACTCTGGCTCATTTACAAGGCCTATCAGGCCGCAGGAAATGCCATTTAAGAAGCTGCTTTTATATAAAAAAAAGTTACAAAATCCCATCGAAGATACATACACGGCATAGGTCTTTAGGTGAACATAGAAGGCACATCTCACCTCTCAGGAAGTGGTCAGGAGAGCTAATCTGGTGTCTAGAAGCACACTGTCCTGTGCTGGAGGACCTCTCACCTGCTGGGGGCCTCCCAGGGAAAGAGAGGGTTTGGCTGGGCCTGCCTAGCTACCCTGGACACGTCACTGCAATTTCGTTATTTGGTACCCTTGATCTTTTGAACCTGCTAAGCAAGTCTAGGAGCTTTTCTATGAAACAGTCATAGACCCAGAATAGTCATGTCACCGAAAGATATCATCTCTAAGGGAGTGAGGTGCCAGTTAGTGGCACCAAGACCCACTCTCTCCTAAATGAGAGGGCAAAGATCAGTTTTCTCCCTGCCTGAGAATGAAGAGGGGACTAGTGTCCCCTGAACAAAAAAAGAACCTTGGAAGGATCATTCTTATCAAAGTGCTGGCAGGTACAGAGTCACCAAATGCAGAGAAAAAACCACTGGGTCCTGGCAGGTTGGCCCTGTGGTGGTTTCTGTCTTACTTGCCCCTCTCCCCCACCACACCCCCACCCCCATCCCTAC